ACTGCGATACCAAAACTGGCGCCTGAGCAACCTCTATTCGGGAATCACCTTCGTAGCGCCACACAGACTCGCTGATTTACTGTAGGTGAACCAGAAGCCTGTCACATAACCGATAATGCAAAAAAAATTATCAAATCGGATCATAAATTAAAAAAAAAATTGATGTTGCGTTAATTTTGGCCAGGAGTTTAATAAATAACGTTTATATTTTTTACCTATGAATATTTGTTGGTCATAAATAGGAAGACCTAATGACCATAAGTGGAAGTATGGTTATAAGTGGGAAAATGTAATTATTTTTATAAGTAGCTGTTTCAAACCGTAATAATGAGACATTTGCAAATGTAGTAGAATACCTTTAACCGCACACTCTAATTTTTACTATAAATATTCTTTAGATGTTTCTTAAATAGGAGGAATTTTCTCTTAGAAATTTCTTAATGTTGCCATAATCGGTACCAGCACCCCATTATTATTTTTAGAATGTTTTTAGTGCAAACGTACATAATTCTATTTAAAATTGTTACATGGGATATTAATAAGGACTAAGCTTTATCCATCATAGTTCTTAAAAAAAATAAAGCCAGACACAACATAAAATATATTTTGATAAATGGGCTATTTACCTAAAATCGATGAAAATTTTATGTTCGCCAAAGCCGTCTTTTCAAGTATATTTACTCCTTAATCGCATCCAGAATCTCGCATAGCCATATATCTTTTTTCGTTCGAGACTTTCTTTTGCTAGTTTTTTGTTAGATAAAACTCCATACCAACGACCAATCTTAATATTACGCTCCTACAAAATATTACATCAAATTTTAAGGTTAGACTGTTTTAATGACGGCAATAGTTCGTGTGCCGGTAGGGGTCATTTAACTTTTTAAACAAACAACCACAAATTATCAAAACAAAATTTTCCATTTGCATACAGGGTGTTTCAAAAAAAAGTGACCTCATTGTTTAATAAGTTGGGTTTACTTAGTATAAAGTTTTCGAAACGGCATCCGTTTTCAAGATACAGGGTATTGGTATTAGACAGTCCGTACCGAATAGTTTTTAACATATTTTTTTTTTGAGGTTAAATTATCTAATCCAAATTGAACTCTTGGTAAAAACTCGATACTGAGTACCATTTTCGAAATATTTTGATTTGAATATGATGAGCTAACTCAAATAAATTTTGAGGTTTGCGACTAACCCCAAACTTTTTTACGGAGAACATTTTAAACACTGATTGAACATAAAAACTGATTAATATTTCATGGTTTTAGTCAAATTTATTTTAATTTTCTTCTTGTGATTCTTTGTTTAATTATTAACATTAGAATTAGAATATTGTTAATGTTTTTGGTTTTTAAAAAATAGGTAATGGTTTTTAAAAATACCTACTTTATACCAGCATCAGATATGTATGGAAACGGTCGAATATTTTCTAAGTAAGACAGCTAGCGAAAACCGTTGAATACAATAGTTTCAGGGTATTTTATAATATATTACAATAAAAACAAATTAAGTATATAGGGTCAGTCCAGGGGCGGTTTCTCCATTGGTTCATTTGTGCAGTAAACACCCAGTTAAATTTCATAAAAACACATTATTTTAATATTACATAAATAACATAAAAAAATATATATTTAATTTTAATATTTTTATTTTCATACGTGTTAATCTATATTTTTTTGTACATCATTGTCCTCTGGTTGATCGCGTCTCTGTGTCACAGTATATCTAAGTATACTGTGTATGTGGCGCATTATGATAAGTGAGCCTAACACGAGTGAGACGAAATGGAGAATGTATATAGCTAAAAAGAGAAGACAACACGCATACAGATCCTTTAAACTGTCAAAGAACAAATTAATTGGCGCGCCGCTCACAAACAAGGTTGCCAAACCAGTGTTGCCAATCTAGTACAATTTGCAATTGTACTAGATGTAGTACTTTCTGCGTGCATCAGTGTTCACGTGTAAACTATATATATTGTGTTCCTTGTTTGTGTTCGTTATCAATAAAGACCCCTTTTTTTCCTCTTCAATGAATTGAGATGTCACTGCAAATAGAATTCGAAAAAACTGGTACATTTAAAGAATCTGGTACATTTTTTAGACAAATCTGGTACATAACAAAAACATATTCTGGCAACACTGCACCAAATCAAGCAAACTGTTACTGTCATTAGTGTCATTCTAATCCTCTTAAATAAAAACAAGATTATTTTAATTTTGTTTATTTAAAAAAATGTGAACAAATCCAGCAAATGTATTATAATATTAAAATTACTTCGTTGCCCGTTTGGTACCAATCATTCACTAGGTAAGTACGTAGTGCATAAGAGTAAATTTAATAATACTGAAAATATACCTAAATCTTATTCTATATACAGTAAACTTACGTTATTTATCTAATATATATTTTATTTCAGGCTCTATAAGAAACTAAATAGGCTAAGCCAAAACAGCCAACAAAAGTAAGGGTAGATAAAATGCAATACCCACTTAGATTTTCTAAACTAAAATTATTTGATAGTTAGAATGCGAAACAGCTTTTAATGTAATAAGGTAATAATACTAAAAGCTATGATTTATATACAAGATGGTACTATGACAATGATGTTATTAAATATATGTACAGAAAGGTGATGCACAGTAATGTTTTTAGCAATAATATATACACAAGGAAGCTAAGTGTGGCTAAAATAGAGCTCAGGCAATGAAATAGGCAATGGAACGTTCTTACTTGTTCTGTGGTTTCCTGATGATCTACCATCCAGGGTTTGTTCTTGTCAGAGTTACCGATCGGTTACTAAGGGCTGGGCCAACAAGCTAAGCAGGAAGCGGTGAACTATAGTTCGGGTTACTTCCTCTACTGGAACCGCTAAGCCAAGCACTGACGATAGTGTGCCCAAATTAAATAATAGCTACTAAATACTACAGGAGTGGCACAAGAAGCTCTACAGAATGGATACAAACAAGAAGGCCGTAGATGTTAGGTGGCCTTTGGAAGAAAAGTATTATTTCCACAACAAGGTGCTGTCAATAATGACAAATATACTTTAAAGGTAAACTTTCTCTTTATATTATTAGCCAAATAATCCGAATAAAATTCATGAATTTTCAAGTATCACATGGACCAAAGAAAGAAAGATTTATGTAAATGTTCAATTATATGCTGCTATTTCAAACTTTTAGTATCCTTTGATAAAAGAAGTTGAATATTATTGTTGACCTTTTTAAATTGTTTATTTTACCTTATACATTTTTTTTTCTACTCTTCATACAGTATTATGTGAAGAGTATTATAAATTTACTTTGTCTGTCTGTCCGATGTCACGTTTTTTGTCTGCACGATAAGTCAAAAACAATAAATGATATGAACTTGAAAATTTTAAGCAAAAATCAAGCTCTATAAGGGAACAAAGCCTATTGATTTTTAACAAATCTGATTAAAAATAGGGGGGGTTAAGATGGGTTGAAATTAAAAAAAATCCTAAATAAAAAATGAAAAGCGATAGCAATATCAAATTTTTAGTAAAAATTAAGCTTTATAAGAAGGTAAAGCCTATTGATACTGAAAAAAATATGAATATATTGGGGAGTTAAATGGGGTTAAAATATAAAAAAAATCCTAACTGAAAAACTTGAAATTTTTAGGAAACATCAATCTTAAAGGAGAAGCCCTTTCATTATAAAAAAAATCTGATTAAATATGGGGGTTAAGGGGGTCTGTTAAACTGCGAAGAGTATCATTTAAAATGCCAGGCATTATATATCTGTATTCTAGTTTGTGTCTGTGTAATATTATGTATTGTGATGGGACTGATCTTATAAAATAAACATTTAAAACATTTTAGTTCTTATTTTATTTGCCAATAAAAGGTATTTAAAAAATATATTTTTTATTTGACATCTGTGACAAATTGTGAAAATGAATAAACTTACAATAAAAACTAAAAAATTATAGGTAAAGTTTCATATAAAAATGTTTACACAAAAATCAATGTCAAGCATTCTACATAACCTGATATATATTTAAAAATAATCTCAAGTTATAAAGAAAAGTCAGTTTACAAACTAATAATGTTTATAGATGGTTTTCAACGTATTAAAAACAAAACAAATATCAGACTAACTAAAAGATTCATTTATTAACAGTTGTAGTGCTTGAAAACAGTATGATGTTGATAATAATAACTACACTTAATACAAACTCAAATAAAAAAAACAGCGATATTGACTCTTGTACAAAGTTTTGATCCAAACTTACATATAATAAAATTATTGGAAAAAGTGAACACCCATTTTCAATTAGCACCAGCCGCCACTGGGTCAGTCAAAAAGTCATGATGAAACAAAGTTGCTTTTTTTCAATAGGACACCCTGTATATTATTCCATATTTCAATTTATTTTAACATTCTAAACAATTATTCTTAGTTCTTAGAATCATGGAGGCCCTAAGAAGCCCAAATAAGGCAGATATGAATTTAAGGGATTGGAGAATAACCAGGCTATGCACGTTATTATCAGACTTCTTAAATTGTAAATTTGTACCAAACATAACACCTAAATATTTAATTTTTTTGATTGACTGAAAATTAACTTCATCAACAGAAACACTCTGCGATGCTTCATTTAATTTTCCTAAACTTCCACTATGCCCAATTAACATCCATTTTGTCTTTTCGTATATAAAATCAATACTTCACTCTACATTATCACAATATTGCAAGTACAATGTTTAGACATATTCGTAATAGTAATTCGATATCAAAATATTAATGTGTTATAGTTTAGTAAAAAACCATAAATTTAACAATTAACAACAATATCTGCTCTGCATGATAACAATAATATTACACGTATAATATTTAGACATATTATTCATAATAGCAATTCAATAACCTATAATTTGATGAAAAAAATTATAATTTGGCATAATTTAGAAAACCATAAATTTAAAGTGTCTTTACTTTAAACCTAACTCAAATGGAAAGCATGTTATGGATATGGTAGCCGCCAAAAGTTTGGCCACTACTGTTACAGCTGATCCAGGATTCTTTTGGGAAGTACCTGAAAAGTGTAGCACAGAAGAAGCTGCTACCTTTCCAGTCGTTTATGGAACTAGTTACTACGCTCTTGTTGTAAGAGGACTGAAATCGGGTGAAAGTTTATTGGTCCATGCTGGTACGGGAGGTGTCGGCTGGGTTTCTATCGCCATTGCTCTTCACATGGGTTGTACCGTTTTCACGACAGTCAGTAGTCAAGCTAAACGTGATTTCCTTAGAAAGACCTTCCCATGATTAAAAGATGACAATATCGGCCACTCTCATGATACAAGTTTCGAACAAATGGTACTGACTCAAACTAACGAACGAACTCATTACCCGCCCATCAACTACAGGCCTCTATCAGATGTTTATCAATTGGAGGCTGCTTTCTCGAAATAGGAAAAGTAGATCTACCTAACAATTCTCCTCTAGGAATAAGCATCTGCTTGAAAAATACTATGCTCTATTCGACTCAGACAGTCCACAGAAAAAACAAGTTTTCAACTAAGTAACTGAAGGTATCAAGAGTGATGCCGTAAAATCTCTGCCAAATACTGTTTACAACGAAAATCAAGTTGAACAAGCCTTGAGATATATGGCTTCCGGTAAACACATTGGAAAAATAAGAGAAGAAGAGAGCCGAACTACCCAACATCCTGCTGTGAAGACTGTTAGTGCTATTCCTCGTACTTATATGGATCCAGAAAAGACTTACGTATTGGTTGGAGGTCTTGGAGGTTTTGGTCTTGAATTAGCTAATTAATTGATCACCAAAGGAGCCAAGAACATCGTGTTGACGTCCAGAAGTGGTATCTAGACTGTTTGCCAATCGCTAGGCATCATAAGGTGGAGAGAAGGAAGTTAAAGTTCTTATTTCAACATCTTACGCGACCACAGAAAAAGGAGCTAACAAATTAATTGAAGAATCAAACGAATTAGGTCCAGTTGGTAATATATTCAATTTAGAAGCCATTTCAAGAGATGCCATGATGGAAAATCAATCTGAAGCTGATTTCAAGACTCTTTGCAAACCTATAGTAGATGGTAGCAAGATGCTCGATGCAAGTTCAAGAGCTTTTGGACTATTTCGTTGACTTCTCTTCAGTTTCTTGTGGTCGTGGTAATGCTGGTCAAGCCAATTATGATTTAGCTAATTCGGCGATGGAACGCATAACAGAATCTCGTCAAATTCTTGGTTTGCCCGCTACTGTTATCCAATGGGGAGCTATTGGTGATGTAAATTTGATTCTTGAAACTATGGGCGGTAACGATACAGAAGTAGGAGGAACTCTACCACAAAGGATGACTTCTTACTTGGCTACAATGGATATTCTCTTACAACAACTTCATTCCGTAGTAGCACAAAGGAGGAACCGGTGGCAGTCAAGTCAGTTTGACTGATGCAGTAGCCAATATTCTCGATATTAAAGACTCAGCCACTATTGCACCTAGTCTAGTTTAGCCGACTTAGGTATGGATTCACTTATGGGCACTGAAATTAAACAAACCTTAGAACGAAATTACGATTTGGTGCTTCGTGCACAAGAAGTTAGGGCTCTTACTTTTGGTCGTCTTGTCGAGCTTAGCACCGGCATAGGTGCTGCATCAACAACAAAAACACAACGACCAGCCCAAGATAATAATGTAAAATTTAATCAAAAGGTAGATATAATGCCTAAGAAGGTGTTATTCCAAATGACCAGCAAATCCAGTGATAACAAAAAGACTCCAGTTTTTATTCTTCATCCTATTGAAGGAGTTGTTAATGATTTAGAAACTTTAGCTAAGAAAATCGATGTTTCAGTATACGGTCTAGCAGCATTTCCGACTTAGCCAAACATTACATATCTCAAATAAAGACAGTACAAGCAAGGACCATACACTTTAGTCGGTTACTCATTAGAAACACTATTACTTTTGGACGGATCTCATTCGTATGTAGCCACACACACTGGAAAGGCTAAGATTCAAGGGAATACAGCAGCTGAGCAATCCGAAGTGCTCATATACTTCATCATGCAATTCAAGGAAATCGACCAACAAAAGGCTGCAGCGGAACTTATGGTCATGAAATCGTGGGCAGAAAGATTAGCTTGGGCTGTTCAAATACTTTCAGGAGCTACTCCATACAAACCAGAAGAGATCAGTGTAGCTGCTAGCTTTTACCAAAAACTAGCAGCAGCTGATAAATATAAACCTTCTGGAAAATTCAACGGAAATGTAACTCTAATAAAAGCTATTGATAATTTTTTTTATCAGAGGTATGTACCCAAAAATCACAGAAGCATATTAGGAGGAAGTAGTGTAGAAAAAATAGCTAGTATTCTAAATAACCTCGTCAAGGTGTAATGTTGAGATAATATTTTTATTAGTTCCTCATTATCATTTCGCTTACATTTCTTTGTGAATGTATTTTTTGGGTCGAATTTTTGATAAGATTATTCTCATTTTAATTTATAGTAGCTGTAAATTATTTTTTCAATATTTTGTAAGTAATTTATTGTTTAGTTAATTTTAAGTGACAAGAGTGAATTTATTTTTGTATGTTTGTTGATGAACCAAAGATTTTTTTCTCAAAATGACATGACAGTGATTAAAACACAAAAGGCTCTGGAGATGATGCAGGGTTTGTTGTTTGACCTTTTGCATCATAGTCATAGTTAGAAGAAATGTTGTTATTGTGTGTTAAATAAAAAAGCTTAACAAAAATAAGAAGCTAAATTTCCTAAAGTTCAATACTAAAAAATACCTATTCATAAACTTTATAAACAGCAGTAGCTATGCCAACGCCTGCAATTTAAATTTGGTTGGCTGAACCTTGTAACTGCATACATTACTTATTTGTAACGCCTGAGTAAGATGCATTGTGATAATAGAGAGATGAAAGATGGCACTACTGTTGTCTGTTTTACGTTATTCAGATAATATCTGACTGTGTAGTTGAATATTTTTAATTCGAGCCTAATCTTGACTTTCATAACATTTTAAAAGGTAGATATAATTGACAAAGTTGAAATTCTTGACTCAATATTAATTTGTAGTTCGTGTGACCATTTTAACTACCAAAAGGTCACTTGATTTGGACTACCTAATTAGGTATACGTCGGCATACAGTATACCTTTTTTGCCATAAACTCAGCCTATTGACATTATACTGTCTGATGGAAGAATTAATGACTAGCGAAAAGTACATGAAAAATACCGAACTTGCGACCCATTCGTTCGCTCCGTTGTGCTTTTGCCAGTCGCCGGGCATAAATCTTTATTTAAATCTTACTAAAAGGAGTTGATATTTATTTCGGCTTGGTTATTCATTGATTTCCCATCTGAATTGATTACCCGCTGGGATACCAAAACAGAATCAAGGGATGCAGCGTTCGGAATCGAAGAGATGTACAAGGTGTTGCGAAATTGTCAAGCAATATTTATAATGGTTAAAGATTGTAACGTGAAAATGGACCATTTTCTTTATAAACACATACAACAGAAGAGAATCAACAATAAATATGCGATACATCCTGTATAAGATTAATTTCATATTTAACTGTCAGTGATAGTTTACCAGGATACGGTATGGTCCAACGACAGTAGTTTTTCGTCGTTGGTCTTGGCACTTATTTATATCACTGCTACTACTACAGGAAACAAGTTTACCCAGGCAGCACAAGCCAATCCATTGGATGTCCATCGGAAGTCCATTCATGGACATATCGGCTGTCCAAAGGACGTCCAGCATTTTGCCGAAGGACATTCAATGGACATCCACTGGACTATACAAATGTCCCACTCCGGGAAGTCCATTTGGACTCTATGAAAGGTCCATATATGGACTCTTTTTGTATTGCTTATGGACAATTTATGGACATCTGACAGACATCATCACCTATATTAATATGAAATAAAATAATTGCAACTATGGACTTATTTTTATTGTCATATATAATAATAATCAAGCATGTATTAGTTTTATACGCACTCCTTTCTGTTGACCTTCTCAGCCATTTTCTTAAGGCTATTTCGCTTACTTTTTAAGCAGCACCATTGTCACTCTCAGTAGCAGCTAAAAAAAGACATTACATTTGATACGAATATTGAGTCTTAAATCAATCGTTTAATAGACTCCTGATCAGGCAAAACTGTAAAACTTTTAGATAAAATGTTATTAACTAATATGAAAATATGCATTGACTAATATACTTTACCCCTAACCTTACATATAAACCAAAAACTGCTCATTGTTTCTTTAAATTACCATTTTACTTTCATACCATACCGTTATGTGAATTCTTTCGTGAGGGTATTAGAAATTATGGAATCAAAACATCTTTTTACAAGTTCGTCAGGTTCTTGTCCCTGGTTTTGGTAACTGCTGAATATAAAATTGCAATAAAAATATGTATTTGTGAACATTAAAGAGAAATAACTTATGAAGCCACTTTCAATGCATTATTTCTTAAATGTTACAGAACGATTCTATTTTATTTAATAAAAGTAAAACTTACAGCTTCTTTAAAAATATTTGTATCTTCTAAATAGCCTTTTACTTCTGCTAACGTCTCATGCAGTACAAATAGAAACTTGCATTTTTTTCTTCTGATTTTAAAGTTTTCTCGCCTCTTAGTTACAATAATAAATGTGGTAACATCATCTCGAATGTGAGCATACTTAGTTAGCTTTAAGTAAAGTCATTTTCTTAAATAGGTAGGTACATCATTTGACAAAAGGTCTAAAAGAAAGGGATTCTTTGAATTTAAATCGAAAATATAAAGTTAAAAACATAATTGATAGGTTATATTAGTTTAAAACAAATGATTTGCTTCTTAATTTTTGGATTTTTAAATAATTATATGTTAATTATAATTATTTTCTTACCAGATAAACATTATCTATAGGCTACATGTGGGCTGTGTGCTGTTTTCTTCTTAACCTCTTTCTTTTCTTCTTCGAGTCTCGCCTGAATAGCCTTTTTCTTGTCAACAGAGGCGAGAGGAGAGAGGAGAGGAAAATTAATTGATTTATTTTAATGAAAACCTAGTGTTAAATAATTAAATTATACAAGAAGAATTATAATAATTTATTATAAGTTAGTCATTTTTATAGTGTCCACCATGGACACTTTTTGGACATCCATTAGACTTTTGAATAAGTATATCCATTGGATAACGGAAAATGGATGTCCAATGGACATTCATAAGTTCATGGACATCCAGAACATTATTTGGACAAAATATGGACGTCTAATGGACGTTGTGTGCTGTCTCGGTATGTTTTACTTTTCTCGCAATCTCGATATCTAAAATTTAAAAATAAAAACTTGAGACAAAATAAAATATTACCTATACCAAATTGGAAAAAGAATTTTTAGAAGATCTTTCGAAGAATTTAAAAATATAGTCTATTTCCTAGATCTAAAAATAGATAGAGAAAAAGATGAGTCGATTCGAATCAGCCAGTCTTCTTATAAGAAAAATACTAACCAGGCAGGAAAGATAGAAATATCGGATAAAGACTACGAATATTATTTTTCATACAGAGAAGCAGTGACAGTCTTGCTGTGCCTCATGACCGGTGCACATCGTGACCTAGCCTATGCAGTCAGAATTGTCTCAAGAAACTTGAGAACCCATCTAACACTGACTTTGTGAGGATGAAGAGGATTTTTTTTTACCGGGTGTTCAAATTAAAGTGTTACAGTCAAATACCGCCGAAATTATGCATTTTAGAAAAAAAAGTTTCAGACAAAAGTTTTATAGTTTTTTGGGGGAAACATTTTGGCTAAATTCATTTTTTTGTAGCTGACCATAATATGGCCATATCGAGGTGGACCATTTTTTTCTTACATATTCTTAAAGTACATAAAAAAATAAGAAACTTTTGAGGAAAATATTTTTTTTATTGGACTTTTACTTTTTGAGTAACAGCTACTTGAAAATGTTGCTGCGCGAAAAAAAAGTTGGCCATATTATGGTTAGCTATAAAAAACGAATTTAGGCAAAAGTTTTTCCCCACAAAACTATAAAACTTTCGTCTGAAACGTTTTTTTTTATAAAAAGCGGTATATAGCTGTAACGCTTTAAGTTGAACACCCGGTATATTAAAAGCACAAGCAACTATGGTATCCTCTTTAAAGCTGATCCAAATGATATGAAGTTAGAATGGCGAGGATAAACCGGTTCAAATCAACAAAAATCTCAATAATGTGGTAGGTTTAACAGTACAATTTTTTTTTATAAAAAAAAATAAAAAAATAGTTCTAGAACAGGCCTGCACTACTGTGTACGAGGGCCAAGAACGGATCTAATTTTTTTTGCAAGGGGGATGTAGGCAGCAAAGGATTTTCGCAAGTGTTAAGCTCAAATACGTTGATCTTGAAAAACAAAAAAATTCATTTATAGTTTATTTTCAAAAGACCAAATAGTATCTTCTTTTACAAGATGAGTAGCTATCCCCTGTGTATATTCGTCGAATGCCGTAAGATGTGATAATACGATTAGCCATCAAATTGCAATTAATTAGCTTTTTTCTGGAATAACAGGTAACAAAAAGTGGCTATTTCTTAAGTCAAATCATGTATCTCAAAAACCTATCATATTAAAAAGCTGTAATTTTTGGGAATTTATGTTCTACAAAATGGTTGATACACCAGTAACGGAACTCCTTTACAGGACTGAAAGTACATGGTGATTTATCAAATTTTTTTTGACACATTCGATAAATTAACTAATAATCTATCTATTAAATCATCATGTAAACAATAAATTGGATAGTTATACACATGTTATATAGTATATAATAAATACACAGAAGTCAACTAAAAATCTTTAAAAAAAATC